ATCCTGATATTCATCAAATCACGAACCTTATACAGAATTCCAGCGACCTTTGATATTTTTACCTTTACATCATTGATGTGGGTCTTCCAGAGTAGACGACTATCTATAGTAATTCCAAGGAACTTTGCTTCATCAGCTCTATTAAGAGTTACATTATCCAATTTGATATCTATATTTGGTTTATAATTCGATTGATTTGATAACAAATAGTACGTTTTAGTTGGATTCAGAATTAATTTGTTTGCCCTAATCCAGTTTGATAAGTGAATTAGTTCATTATTCATTGTACTAACAAGCTCAGGTAGGTTTTTACTAGCCATGTAAACATTAGTATCATCTGCAAAAAGCAGGAAATTTAATTTACAAGAAGACCGAGCAATGTCATTGATGTAAAGCAAGAACAATACAGGACCAAGTACTGATCCTTGGGGGACCCCATATCTAATTTCCCTATATTGGGAAATGCAGTTCTGGTAATATACATATTGTTTACGGTTGCTTAAATAACTCTGAAACCATGCTAATGCTGGACCTCGAATACCACACACCTCAAGTTTTTGCAAAAGAATATCATGCGATATGGTATCAAATGCCTTGGACAGGTCACAGAAAACTGTAATTTGGTACTGTTTCTTATCTAGAACTTCATAAATTTGATTTGTTAGACAGTGAATAGCTAATTCCGTTGAGTAGTTTGGTCTGAATCCATAGTGAGAGTTAGATATTAATGAATGGTTTTCAAGGAATGTCATTACTCTTTTAAAAACAATTTTTTCAAATATTTTGCTGAATATGGTTAACAAAGAAATGGGTCTGTAATTCTCAGGGAGATTTGCATCGCCTTTCTTATAGATAGGAATCACTTTTGCGATCTGCAAATGACTGGGAAAACAGCCCGATTTGAAAGATCTGTTGATGATGGAAGTTAGGAAAGAAATTATTTCCGGTGCACATTCTTTCACGATGGTTACTGGAATGTCATCATGTCCACTGGCTGACTGTTTAAGGTTATTAATGACGTCCTTCAGTTCATTTTCAGATACTTGAGATAATCTTAAAGAATATTTAGCATTTTCAGGGAGGAATTGCCGGAAGTCAGTTTGAATGTGTGGAATTTGACTGATTAGATTGGCTCCCACCTCACTAAAATATCTATTAAATCCTTCAGCAATCTCTTTAGGATCAGATGTTATTTCATTATTGAACATCATAGATAGTGCCGCTTGACCCTTTGTATTACCATTTAGTATATCACTGATAAAATGCCAAGTTTTTCTGACATTGCCTGCATACTCATCAAGTTTGCTTTTATGGTCTCTTTTCTTATCACATTAGAGTATTTCTATGTTTTAAAAACATTTTCATATATTACGGGCCATTTTGCATATTTTTGCTGCAGTTTGTCTAGTTTTGATTGAGTTGATTATTGCTGGTGTTATTGCTTGCATGCTTGATGTTGAGTTGATTATTGCTGGTGTTATATATGGTTTGATTGCATGCTTGATTCTCTCAGAATACTCTTTCCGAGGACAGAAGTGGTTATACAACTCAGTGAACTTATTTATAAATATATCAAAGTCTTCATCAACATTTTGTTTCTTTAACAATGATTCCCAATCACTTCATTTAAGGCTGTTTTTAAATTATTTATGGTGTGTGGATTTATTGATCTTTTAATCTTTGTTATTCGTGAACTCTTCTTAATGGATTTAATGGTTGTGAAAGTACTAATGACAGGGAAGTGATCACTTATGTTCGAGTATATGATTCCACTGGAATGGTAAGACTCCAAGTTGTTACTCCATATGTGGTCTATTAATGTGGCACTCGTGGCACTCACTCTGGTAGGCTTTGTGATGGTCGGGTAAAACATATGAGAGTACATGAGCGTAACAAAATCATGAACTGACCGATTTTCAAACCTCAAAAGATTGTGGTTGAAATCACCCATGATGTAACAAGGGATGTTGAGGAGAGTTATATGTTCTAAAATCTCACTGAAAGATTCATAAAAAGCTTGAGTAGAAGAGTTTGGAGGTCGATAGACCATCCCAACTAAGAATCTCTCATCATTGGTTTGATTTTTTAGAAATATTGTTTCCATATGGGGAAATTGTACACTGAGATCATGTAGGATAGTTCCTTGGAGTGAGTCAGATATGTAGATTGCTACACCACCGTGATCAGTACTTACATTGTTAAAGAAGGGAGTATACCCTATGATATTATATAATCCACAAATATTATAATTTAAGCGTGTTTCACACAGTCCAATGATATTAGGCTGTAAATTTATTTCATTTAAACACTGATCTTGAAAGGCATTGATTTGTGATGGAATGCTACGTATATTGTACGAGAGAAGATTGAGACTATTGGGGGGTGTTTGGTAGGTACTGTTCATGGTATTTATAAAATGGTAATTACAGCGAGGTTCTTGGAAATCAGGAATAGACATTTCATCAGATCTATTGTCAGAGTTTCTTAAGTTATTATCGTTCAAGAGAAATGGGTTAAAAAACCATATTATCAACAGTGGGCAACGGGAACCTATGCACAGTATTATTATTCAATAGTATATGCAAATCAGAGTTAGTTACATTAGCAAAAGGAAAATTGTAAGAATTAGCCATTATATATACTATTATGAATCACAGATGAAATAATTTGGAATGGGTATATTACAGTTACAGCTGATCCGCTCAGTGGTTCTCAGCTCTTGTTGCCTGCCGTGTGGTGCGCCTGCTCTCACTGTCGTTGGGCAGCTGCTGCTTCTCCTGGAAATCTGGCTGGGAGACTGTCCTCTCAGCGGCCTGGGGTTCGACGGTGGAGGATGCTGTGCACTGTCGTAAGCCTGCAGATGTACCGGTATTTCTGGGGGCATCTCGATCGTTCGATTTTTCTTTAATTATCAGTTTAGCATTGACGAAGAAAGCTATTTTTCCCTGGGCTCTTGCAGCTTTAAGGGCAGGAAGTTGATCTGTTCTCATCTTTCGGGACGCCGGACACAGATCCTCGTTGAGGTAGATGTTTGTTCCTCGGAGCATCTTCCCGTGCCTCAGCGCAGCATCCCGGTCGAGTTGTCGGGTGAATCTTGCAACAACGGGGCGCGGGCGACCCTCCAGACGCGGCCCACCCGGTGTGCTGACTCCAGGGGCAGTTCCCGTAACTCCAGCTTCTCCCGCAGCATAGATGACACGGCCACAGCGGTTTGTTCCGTCGTCTCCGCGTCAACTTCCGGCAGGCCGTCAATCCTGAGGTTGTTGCAGCGTTGCAGGTCGTCTAGCTCGTTGCATCGTGTTGTCAGGGCTTTGATGGTTTCCCTACTTTCCAAAAGTTCCTGTTTTAGTTCTGCAATTAATTTCGTTTGAGTTTCTTTTTCTTGTAAAAGTAGCTTAACCTGGTTCTTCAGGTCATCTATGTCAACTTGGGAGAATTCCAGACTCCGCTTCAAATCTCCAATTGTTTCATTACAGCCATCAATTCTTACGTTGCACTGACTTACAAAAACTTGAAGTGCGTTTTTATAAGCTTCAGTTTGTACGTCCATCATCATTTTTATCTCTTGTAAATTCATGTTTGTGGCTTGTTGGTCAACTCAGGTGAGCGAGACTCGAAGTGACGGGTGAGGAGGGAGGAGGTATGGTGAGGCGGCGGCGGCAGGTGTGGGAGCGTCCTGCGCATGCGCGGGATTTGTGACGCTCGAACGTGGGGGGGGGGGGGGGGGGGCAGAGCCAAGTTCAAATTTTTTCATTTCACTAGTTCAAGTCCAACAAAGTTTTCACATATTGATATTGCACTGCTTCGATCACCAACCTTACTGTGTAAATCAGCAGCCAGACGAANGATAATATTTTGATGTTAACATTGAATAATTACATTGATCATATTTATCAATTGGTAATATTAGTTAACACTGGATTATAAAACTTCTAGAGAAATTCGTTTTAATCTTATACTTGTATACCTGTTTTATTGTCCTGTTATTAAGACCTTGATTGAACACGAGGATAGAGGAAAGAATGGATTAATTTATACGTATCATAAAGCAGCTATTTACAAATTGAATTTTGCTCTGAGCTGCCTTTCATACTCACGTCGGAGGAAAAATGGCGGGAGAAGGACTTGTCGGAAACCGTTATGTCAGTTAGATTTGGCGGGAGGGGGGCGGGGGGTAGAAGCTGGAGTTGCAGAGTTAGTTTCATCTACGCCACTACATTAAATCCTCAATTTTCGTATAACTCCTTCATGATTAGGAATCTTCACTTGTAATCAACATTCCCTTATTAGATATAGGCAGTGGTAGCATGGCCCGAAATTAAGGGAATAGAATTAAGATAGATTAGGGTAATCTTAAAAGAACCAGTTCCATATTCACTTTATTAAAATGATAAAAAAAAGGAAGCGACACATATATCTTGATAGGGCACCATGGATGTAGAGGAATTGTGTGTCCATGTGGTTATTTACCCCTTTTTGAGCCTGGACTTGTCTTATAACATGGCGCGACCACCAACACCTAACGAGCTCTTTCGGTCACCAAAAAGCAGCTTAAATAGACTTTGTCTGAGTTGTCAAGAGCTCTTTTTACAGGTAATTGTGATTGGCTGCTTGTTATGAGGGAGAACCACATAAGTATGGGGGACTGACTTATATAGGGAGCCACGTGATATATTTATTAGTGTTTTAGTATTGTGTTCGTCCCGGCACGGAGCATCCTCAGCGCGTGTGGGGGCGGTGACGTCATCTCGCGTCACAGGGCATCACTACGGAGTCTAACTCTGAAATAGAAAAAAAGGGATAAAATTGATACATGGAAATCGCGTGAACTGGCTTCCCTTATGCCGAATATTTGCCGATTCTTATCCGAAGATCTTTGAGATACTCCTGTCCTCGCCACTGTTCGCTAGGACACACACAACACACAACACACAACAACACAACAACACAACAACACAACAACACAACACAACACAAGTATATTTATTCTGAACTATAATGCGTAGTCTAACCCAGGCTTCCCCTTCACCAGGTGCCGATGTGGGCGGGGTCAGACGATACCTTGATGGCTGACCCGCTTTCCCTGCTCTACTTCAGGTGAGAAATTATTGTTATATTTTTGTTTCTGTCTGTCTGTCTTTGTCTGTCTGTCTCTCTTTCTCGCTTTCTCTCTCTCTCTCTCTCGCTTTTCTCTTTCTTTCTCTCTCTCTCTTTCTCTTTCTTTCTCTCTTTCTCTCTCTCTATCTCTCTCTCTCCCTTTTCCAACACTATTGTTAAGCGGTAATTGCAAAGTACGTTTTTATAAGCACCTTTCTCTGTACCTTCAAATTATGTCCACATCTTTATATATAGTTCTTTTTTCTGTTTGCTTACCTTGTTTGTATTTATCTATCACGCCGTACCTTGAATTCTTATATTTTCCTTCCTTTTTATGGTGAGTATATAACCTGTGTTGTGTTTTTTTTTCTTGTTTTTTTTTTTACTAGTTTTGCTTGATAAGTTTCCGCCATAGTACTTTCCTGTGGCCATTTTTAACGCTGTAACAGGGCACAGCATATAGTTTTTAAGTTGCGATAGTGATGTGCAATATTATTGAACCACTATCGTCTGTCAGGCCACTTAGACCCCTTATTGTAAGTTCAGTATTTTCCTCTTGGTAGAAATTTCGGTTTCTAAATGATTGTGGTCTTCGGAGTGCTGCAAATTCCTGCCTTGGCCCCTTGCAGATATCCCTGTAGGATGCTATAGCGAAGCCCGTATTCTGTTGTTTCAAATCTCTCAGTGAGGATGATTTAGGCAACCTGCAGATGGCCGAGTCGTTCTTTGACCTGACCCAGCTGGCTCTTATCAGCTGGAAGACCTTCGAGAGACTCCTTTGCTCGTCCTTCATCTCCTAAAGAGTAAAAATATGCATGACTCTTAGGCTACTGACTCAAGTCCTCAGACGAGCAAATTTCTGAATGAGACTTGCGAACTTTACCATGTTCTGTCTGTGTCTTTTTGTCGATCTGTCTATCTATCTATAGGTCTGTCTGTCTATTTATATGCCTGTCTGTCCTTCTATTTATACGTCTGTCTGTCTGTCTATCCGCCGCAGGTGCACGCACTGCCCGTTCCAGGCCAGCAGCCGAAAGCGGCTCCGCGCCCACCTGTCCGCCCACGCCGACCGCCGCCCGCACTCCTGCTCCTACTGCGACTACCGCGCCACCTGCAACAAGGACCTGCAGAAGCACATCCGCACGCACACGGGCGAGAAGCCGTACCAGTGCGGCCTGTGCCCCTACCGCGCCAGCGACCCCAGCAACTACCGCGCCCACATGAAGCTCAAGCACCGCGACGTTGTCCCTTCGGGGCCGCCGCCCCCGGGCGCGCTCTGAGGGCGGCGGGGGCGGGGCCGAGGGGGAGGGACTCCGGAAACGGGGAGGTGAGAAAGAGAGAGCGAGTGAGAGAGACAGAGAGAGAGAGAGAGAGAGAGCGAGTGAGAAAGAGAAAGAGAGAGGGGGAGTGAGAGAGAAAGAGAGAGAGAGAGAGATTGAGAGAGTGAGCGAGCAGGTCTGGAGGAGTGAAAGAGCGAGTGAGAAAGAGAGACAGTGAGTGAGAAAGAGAGAGAGAGCGAGTAAGAAAGAGAAAGAGAAGGGGAGAGTGAGTGGGTGGGTGGGTGGNTTAATATATATATAACTAACTTTAAAGTAGAATGGGAAGACTCGGGTAAATTACCTTTTCTCGACGTTTTTTATCCAATGAAAATGGCTCGCTTAAATTTTCAGTTTATCGGAAGCCCACCCACACCGCTAATTATCTTCATTTTTTCTCGAATCACCCGTTTTACATTAAGAAGTCAGTTGTCTAGTCAATGTTCCTGAGGGCTTATAGGATTTGCGATAACGAATTCATCGATCGTGACCTTCACATTATTTTTGAGACATTTTCAAAATTAAGATATCCTCGTTTTTTTTCTTAAATCAGGCACATTCATCCGCGAAATAGAAATTTTAGAATCATTCTCGTAACATGCAACAGGAAAGTGCCAAAAATCTCGATGAAAAACACTGTATGTTTAAAGAAGCTGACATTGACATCGTTTTTACTTACCCGAACACGTTGAGCAATACTTTGATTAGGCATAATATAACTAGCAGTGCTATTGATACCTCTCCAGGCATTTACATGATTCCTTGCAATATTGCCCGAAATTTTACATAGACGAAACCGGCAGAAATGTTGAAAAAAAATATGAACATAGACATGATGTCAGATACGCCAAAGAATCCAATGCTTGCTTTATTAATTTACATGACGAAAGACATCAGTTAAATTGGAAAGACGTCAAATTAATTCATAGATCGTCAAATTAGTAAGAAAGAAAAATAATTAAAGCTCATTAATTTAGAAAATTGCCTAATTTAACTTGAGTGCTGGCCAATGGGGATTAGATGATATTAGCTCGTCACTTGTTAGCAAAGCCTTCCCCAGACTCTTCAACCTTGACCTTCCCCCAAGACCTGATTCAGATCTTGTTCATTCTGTCTCTCTATCACTATATAAACTTGTCAAAATTCTCTCATGGTATCCATTTCGGTTTTTGTCTGAAGAGGAACTCGTGAAGAGTTCGAAACGTCACGCTAATTTCCAATTCTCATTGTGGCTAATTTCATTTTCATATACATAATATATATATATATATATATATATATATTATATATATATATATATAATATACATACATACATACATATATATATATATATATATATATATATATATATATATATATATATATATATATATATATATATATATAATATATATATCATCATCATCATCATGGGGGCTGACGCCGACGGGTGCGCATAGCCGCATCCACCCTTCGCTTCCACCTACGAGGATCCCTCATGGCTAGACGCCAGGCAGGGACTCGGCCCATCTCTAGTTCTTCACGGCAGGTTTGGTCGATCTGCCCAAGCCATGACTTCCTCGGTCGTCCCACAGGCCTCCTCCACCCAGGGTTGTCTCGAATAGAGACGACCTGATGGGCAGGATCATCCTGAGGAAAGCGAGCCAGGTGGCCGTATAGCCTGAGTTGGCGATCACGGATTGTGCAGATAACAGGGCTTGTGTCAGTCTCACGGTGCAACCGTTGGTTGGACATATGGTCCCGCCAACAGTACCCATGATTGGCGCAAGGACCTATTGCAAAAGGCTTCAAAAAAAAGGACAGGACAATGTCCAGGTTTCGCTACCGTATAGCAAAACTGGCATTATCAGGGCCTTGAAAACCTGAAGCTTGGTCCTTCTGCACAGGTACCGACATCTCCAAATACTCTTGTTGAGAGAGTTCATGACCCCTGCTGCCAGGCCAATCCGTCTGCTGACTTCATGGTCTGACAGCCCAGAGTTATGAACTACACTACCAAGGTATGTAAAGCTCTCTGTGACTTCAATGTCCTCACCGCAAGCACGTACCGACTGAACAGGTTCTCCTATCAAGTCCCCAAATTCCTGGACCTTGGTCTTGGTCCAGGAGACCTCTAGACCCAGGGGCTTTGCTTCATTGCTAAATGCATCGAGAGCTGCCACTAGGGTTTCCAAAGACTCAGATAGAATGGCAACGTCATCAGCAAAGTCAAGGTCTGTAACCTTGATATTGCCCAGCGTTGCCCCACAATGACTTTGAACAGTAGCTCTTGCCCAGTATCCAGTCCATGCAAGTGTTGAAAAGAGTTGGTGCAAGGACACAGCCTTGCCTCACTCCTGAACTAACAGGAAAGAAGCTCGACAGGCCCCACCACACTTTACAGCACTTTCAGTACCAGTATACAGGCTTGCTATTAGTCCAATAATCCTTGTTGGTATTCCTCTCAGTCTCAGGATCTCCCAAAGTGACTCCCGATGCACTGTATCGAACGCCTTCTTGAGGTCGATGTAAGCTGCAAGCAGCCCACGCCCGAACTCACGACGGCGCTCTACAATGACTCGAAGCGCGAGGATACAGTCTATTGTGGACTTACCAGGAGTGAATCCGGATTGCTCCAGTCTCTGGTGCCTCAGTAGATGGTCTCTGATACGTCTCAGAAGGATGTGGCGAGGCTTGCCTGGTACACTGAGCAGTGTGATGCCTCGGTGATTGCTGCAGTCCCAACGGTCCCCCTTCCCCTTCCAGAGAGGGATGACCACACCCCTCAACAGGTCAGGAGGAACGGAACCGGACTGCCAGATGGCAGCCAGGACAGCATGTAACCCCCGTGCCAAAGGTTCACCACCAGCCTTTAACAGTTCAGCTGGTATGCCGCAGATACCAGCTGCTTTACCACTCTTCAGCTTGGAAATCGCCCCCTAACTTCAGTTAGGGAGGGAGGGTCCTCACTGATAGGTGGATCCGGCAGCGGGATCTCGACACTACCCGCATCCAAGTTAACTGTTGGTGGGTCAACCTGGTACAGCTGCTCAAAATACTCAGCTCCAACGTCCCCGCACCGCAACAGGATCTGAAACGATCTGACCACTTACTGAGCGAACTGCTGTCACCTGTGAAGAGGGCTTGGAGTTCAGCTTTCTCAGGGCTTGGTATGCAGGACGAAGGTCATTTACTAAGAAATGGCCTTCTACCTCCTCTGCAAGACTCCTAATAAACTGTTCCTTGTCCTTCTTAACAGGGACCGAGTTCTGCGCACATGAGAACGGTGCAATTCCCGATCCCCTGTCAGACGAGCCGCACGACATGCATCTGTGGCTTCCAGTGTCTCCCGCGAGATGGAATTCTGTACTGCTCTCGGGCGTACACCAATCGCTTGAGCTGCATCAAGCGTTTCACGCTTAAAGGTATCCCACAGAAGAACAGGGTCTGTCAGACTGCCAAGCACTGCGAAACGATCAGAGATTGCCTCAGCAAACCCTCGGGCACACTCCCCCTCTCAGCCTGTCCAAATGAAACACCCTAGGGTGATCATTTGACCGCTGGGGGGTTTTGAAGTGGACTCGGAGGGTAGCCACAACCAATTGC